TTCACCCATGTGTATGTTCATCTTCATGTGTGTTCATCCATGTGTGTGTTCATCCACGTGTGTTCATCCTCATGTATGTTCATCCATGTGTGTGTCCATGTGTTTTCATCCATGTGCATGCTCATCGGTGTGCGTGTTCATCCATGTGTGTATGTACATCAGTGTGTGTTCATCCCTGTGTGTGTATGTTCATCTGTCTCTGTGTTCATCTGTGTGTATGTTCATCCATGTGTGTTGTGTGCTTGTATGTTAACTGGAGTCATCCTCAAACACTCTCATTTTAGAAGTTTAGCTTTACTCTGCTTACCTGTATTTCTTATATTTAACTTATTTTAAATCAGTCCTACTTATTATGATAAAATAAAAAATCTATGTGCAACAAACTATATTTCTTAGGGTATTTTAAAAACACGCTGTGGCGCAGACCTCATAAACCTTCTATGGTTGTTGCACCCTAAGTGCTAAGGTAGGTTCTCTGTGGGGGGGGTTGTGGGATGTGGGCGAGCAGTCCCCGGCTGGTCGCCGGCACAGGCACGGGTGGGCTGTGAGCAAACACTGCATCCTGGGAGAATGGGAGAGCTGCTGTGTGTCTGGCTGCTGGCAACATCGCGCCTTCCAATCTCCAGCACCAGGATCGCCCACGGCACTACTGATCTGCGGAGGTACTGTGGTGTGTGGAGAAGGCCCCCGGCCCCTGATGGCCCGTGGGTCTACACTGAGCCGCCCAATCACCCATCCCCCAGTGTCCACACCCGGAAAACGGGCCTAACCCTTCCCGTGCTTCTCTCCGAGGAGACAGTGTGTGCGGAGCCCCTTGTAAACTGCCCGCCCCCGCCCCCCCCGAGTGACTCCCGCACTTGCTTCCCAGCCACACGCGTTCCAGCTCACACACCCGAGTTCTCAGCAGCTGGGACTGCTAATAGAACAAAATGAGCTTGGGAACCGAAATGAGGGGTCCCGGGAGCATTGTCTGAGGGGGAAGACGGTGTCTGACCTGCCTCTTCCCGGCGTGGAGGCCACAGCTCCGCCACCCTCCTGCCCCCGAGAAGCTGGACTCCCACGGCGGTTACGGCTCTCCCAGATAAGGAAGCGTGCCCTCCGCTAAAGGAGCCAGGCCCAAGTCAAGGGCGGCTGTCATTCAGCAAGGCCTGTGGATTTACTATTGTAAACCGTGAAGGCGAGAGATTATAGAAATGAGGCTTACGGGTAAGAACTGGTGCGCGGTAGAAGTGGGTGAACTTCCTTCCCGGAGAACAACAGAGGCGGCAGGGTGAGCCAGCTCCAGGAGACCCTGGTCAATAATCCTCCTGCTGCCTAGCAAACTAAGCCCTAGCCAATTCTAGAAACAAGTAGCTCTTAGAGCAAAGTAATAGCGGGGCCCAAGGTCAAAATTTTAATTCTTTGATTAAATAAATGTAGCCAAGCTGAAAAAAAAGTTTTGTGGTATCTGTAGCTTAACACTCCTCCAAGTCTCAGGTGAAAATGCCTAGGACAGAAGCCTGGAGGCTACAGAATCCACAGGAACACTCTCTAAAGGAGAAAGAGCCAAAACGTAGGGCCCCCACCGCCGCCGCGGTGATGACACCCAAGTTCAAACGTCAAGAAGTAAAGGTGGAGAAGTCCTCCACAACTCCTTCTCCACACAGAGCTCACTAGCGGCAGGAACCGCGGCTGGGTAAGTTAAAGAGCCGAATAATAAAGAGGTATCTAAATTTGGCCAACCAAAGTATAAATGGAAGCCAATTTGGGGGCCCGTTTTTAGAGCTAATTGCCTCTGATTGAAATCGGCTTTGATTTGGCTTAAATTGGAGCCTCAGATGGCTAAAGCACCTACATCATGCCCATATCTACAGTGATGGCACATCTGGAAGCAGGAGAGCTCCTGGCAGGAGGACGCGGTTTCTCAAAAAAGAGGGTGACAACGATGTGAGGTGACTGGCAAGCTCCTTCCTGATGCTCCTTTCAGGTAATCTTAGCAAACGACATTTTTAGAGAAGAAACTTCCCTTCAGAGTCAGAGCCCTTGTTAGGCAGAGTCCTTACTACAAAATCATTTTAATTTGAACAATTCTATCTACCGCCCCCTCCCCCCCCACCCCCGCCAGCTTTTTGGCCTGGGGTCTCAGTGAATGTCACGGTTGGGAATCCTCAGCGCGGGGGAGGAAGATTCAAGGGACATGTATGTGACACAGGGCACATCAACCTGAAGGGGTCTGCATGCTGCACAGGCTTTCTTGCACTGCCTCCCGCTTCGTGGGATGAGCCGCTGAACCGTGTTGTCTACACCAGATGGGCCAGGGGCCAGGGAAGGCAGTAGCTCCAGAGTGTGAGTGGCATTCATATACACATTAAATTTTAATACATTTTCAGTTTACATATTGTACATAATTAGACATAAAATTACCCACTTCTTTTTATAAACATCCCAAATGTGTTGACCTGGATAAGATCAGAGCAAAGTGTTATCTCAGGAAGTTTAAGAGGTTTGAGGATCTGAGACCAAGAGTTTATCTGGCACAACTCATCTTTCCATGATCAAGAATGTCCTGTTAATGGCCAACTATTGAAATTCAGTGTCAAACGTGACAAGAGTAATGTTTCCAGAAAATTCCATAATAGAGGATTGTTTTTGCACCTTATTGGGCCCTCTGTCTAGTGCGTCTTTATGAAGAAGTAGAAATTGTTCATCTACAATGAATAGTGTGATTTCACTCTGTCTGTCACCTAAGCGGCTGCTGTAGTAGGGATTGACCAAACTTTGAGAACACTCTACTGAGAAGGGCACGTGTGGGATTACTCTAGAGAAAGCAGCTGTACATCAGCTTCATGGGCTCAACCTAGGCTCCTATGCAGGAAAAACCACTTACAAGGCCTCCATGACTCAGGTTAAAGGTATTGAATAGAGGGGTCTCATCAATTAAGAGGTTAAAGGAAAACAAATATTGTAATGTATGGTTTCCTCTGTTTAGAAAGACTTAGCAAGTAAAAATCAGTCATTTAAATACTAGACTTTTTATAGCAAACATTTAATTCGAACCCGTAGTTTCGAAGCTTTGCCAGTAAAAATGGACCATTTCAGAAAATTGGTCAAGTTTAGATTTCTCAGAAAGGATCAATCAAAATGGGATTTACTTGTTTGAAAAGACAAGTTGACAAATGAGCATGGCTTTTCAATCAACCCCGATTAGGAAAAGGCCATCCCTCTCTGAAGGTAAGGTCTCCCATCCCGGAAGAGGTAGGATGCAGAGAATGGACCCCTCCCCAGCACTGCCCTGGAGGATGTGAAGGCCAAACACCTCCCTCTGAAGATGCGGATGGTGAGGACCATTACACCATCTTCCAAGATGAAAGGAGAGAAGAAGAGAGTGCCAGAACTGGAGAAGTGGCAGCTCTGCTCAGAACTTCGGGTCAACATAACCCTCTAAGCCCAGAGTCAAGGGATGAAAACCGGCAACAACGAGAGCCCTCAGAGAACTACGTTGGTCTCTGGGGGCGCTGAGATGCTAACCAGGGAGAAGCCGTCCTAGATACCAGTTGGGCAAAGGCTATTTCTTGTTTACAGCTGGCCTGCTGGAACTGGATATGTGCCAAACTTTTGCAAAGTACTCCTCATCAAGAAATTCAAAGGAAAGTTGCCACGGTCTGATGTGTTGGCCAAGTTCCAAGTGCAGTTAATCACGTTTTGATCATGAGGGAAGTATGGTTTTAAGCCATGAAAAAAGATGTCTTAACAAAGTGGGTTGAGTTGTTCTTGCTAAGTGTCCGTTTTGAGGTCCTAAATGCTATTTGTCCATTAGGCACTGCGTGGATGACACTATAGACTTTAAAATCATTAAGTCACGCCATGAAGAAAACGCCAAGAGTCTTGTGATGGAAGGGCTAGTTCAGGAGGTCACTGAACATGAGCAGGTGATCTATGGCACTAGGGCCTTGGACAGGGATCCTGTAAAAAATGACATGATGTGAAACAGAGCCCTATACTTTGAGACAGCCCTGGTCTATCGCAGTGGGATGGGATGTAGGGTGGAATCCTTGGGAAAGGAATCAAATAGGGTCTCCAAGGAGCATTTTTTCTACATTGGAAATAAAGCAGTTTCCAAACAAAATGGAAGCCAAGCAGTTGGACGTGATGATATTTATAACATGTCGGGTAAATAAAAAATAATTCTTTGGGGCTCTTGGTTCTCATTCTGTTGTGAAACTACTTTCAGGCCTCACCCTTCTTCCCTGACACACACCCTATATCTCCTCCGACTAGAGCACCGAAGGCTTTCATGCACTTCCTAGGACTTGTACTGACTCCTTCCCAAACCCGTGTAGGAACCGGGTGTGGTTCTATATATACAAAGAAGAAAAACCTTAGTCTGGTGATAAAAATGTAAGTGATCAGATTTATGCCTTAAATATAGAAAACGTTACAGGCACAGGGGAGCGGGAGAACCAACGGCTGGAGGGAAGAGTGTCTGAGTGCTGCTGGGTGCCTGACTGTACCCATCAGTGAGCCAGTGAACGGGACATGATGCTGTCCTAGAGGATTAGCAACTATGACCGCAACATGCTTAGGGAATTAGCTGTCATCGTGGTGAGCTTTTGTCATGAGTGCTATTTAAATGCCCATATTTTAAATAATCATATGAACTACTGACTTCTAAAAAAATAAGTTTTTTTACTTTTTAGGCTGCAGTCACTTCTGAAAGTTTGAGTACCTCTGTCTGGCTTCCCTTCCGTGTGCATGTATATGAGGACAGAAACTACTCATGCTTTAGAATATTCAGGATCGAAAGGCTATGGCATGAAAGCGCTAGAGACAAAGGAGAGGGAAGAGGCAGAGAGACTGTCCGGAAGGGTAACTGACGTCCCGAGGACCTGGGTGTATGGGCTGCCGAGGTACTGCGTGCACAGCGGGTTTGTTTAAAGACACTTGTGTTTACACATGACACCTCCATTTTGTTACTACTAGGCGAACAGATCTTTAGAAGAATGACTGTCATGAAATCTTACTTGAGTTCTTGCGAGCTGGTGGCCAGCATGCTCCGAATGCTTCTGTCGGCGAGGGGGCAGCCCGACAGACTGTAAGACAGGCCAGAGAGTCATGTGAGTGCCGCCCCCACCGGCTTACGCTCCCGGACAAACACAACATAGAACTGAAACTAAAAAGTTTAATGCAGAAAGTGATGGGGCAAGTGCTGTATATTGAATTTTTTTTTTGGTATAATAAACTCTCTTCTTTGAAGAAGATGTGTCTGTTAATAAATAATTTTTGAAAAATAGTATAAAAATACTTGCACTCTTTGGTTTCAATGTTGGTGAGGAATTTTCCGAATCGTGGTAGTTTCCTTGCATATAAAAGACACTATACAACACGTACATCAGCATGCTTTTATAGGTCAACATAGAGCACTGAAAGGGTTGACACGTAATTCGACGTTTGTACTTTGACAGCATTGTTGAGGTAAGCTGAAAACAATAAATTGAAAAGACAGAATCCACCATGAGAAAAATGAAGTCACACCTTCTATGTGAGGCGTAATTACCAGTCACATGACCACTTCCATCACACCTTGGTGTTGGACATCTGCCACCAAACAAAAACAAAAACAGCCAAAATAGTAAGTATGTTTAAAAAAAAAAAAACTTCAAGAAAGTTTCATTGTTTCCAGTTTAGCTGCAATGTCTGCAAGGGGGATTTAGGTGCCCTGAGGGGAAGCTGCAAAACGCACGACCACATACGGCAGACGCGCCTCCATCACACAGAGCGTCCTGGGAGCAAGCGAGCCACGCGGGCCCCCACTCCACGGAATCGGCAGCTCGAGACAGTTATGTGCTGCGGACGTTGCATGCTCAAACGGCAAGGCATGTACAGATCGGTTTTTAAAAATAAGCCAAAGGAAGGGACGGTTAGGAAGAGCAGCTGTTTCACCTCGAGGTATGCTTACGTTATTAAGTCCTTCTTGCTCTCCTTGCACTGGGGGTACTTGGGCTTGGGGCTGGGGATGGTCACCTCTCCCGGGTACCTTCTCTCCTCCAGAGCCTCCTGGAATGGGTCCAAGTCTTCTGGCTGCAGGCAAAACACAGCTTCAGGGCTGCACAGGGGACAGAGCCCCACAGAGACCACAGACGCGTCCCCCAGCGGGCTGGCCGCCTCTGCACTTTCCTCCTCTTCCAACACACTGTGCCTTTAAAATCATTGGGCAATGATTTTTGTCCCTGTGAAGCCCCTTCTGAAAGTGCAAGGCTGGACGCTGTTCAAAGAGCATCTTTTTCAGAGAGGACCTTAGTTTCTCATCAACGGTTCTAAACTTCTAAATTCATCCCTGTCAGGGGGCAGGGCCTTAGTCAGTATTTCTGTTGGGGTACTTATAAGGGGAATAGATAACTGGTTTGGAAACCAGAGACACCATTTCCTGGTTGATCTTTTTGATTCAGTGCCCGGGAAGCACCTGCTGGTGTTACAATACTCTTACCCAGTGCTGACCTGCAAAGCTTAACCACGAACCTTAGAGGCATTTTAGAATGAGGCTTTTACCAGCCACTGGGGAGCATTCTGCATGTGTGCCTTAGGGCCCAAGGCAAGGGAAGACCATCTGAGCTTAATGTTGTAGTTCTCAATTATTCTTATGCAGCATTTTCTTTTTTAATAGGAAGTGTCTACTTCTGGTTAAGTGGGTCCCAGTGCAGTAACTAAGGAACTCCTATAGATGGTGATACTCAGCAGATGTGTCTCCTGAATGCAGGAGAGCGTTTCTTACTTCTGGGACAGTCTGTATGATGAAAATACTTCTGTCGATTTATGAGGGCTTAATTTTAATTAAAATAAATTCAGAGACTCAACCACCATGCCTTATTTGGTAGCAATGACTTAACACTGTAGGAGAGAAAAGAATACTTTGGAATTTACCTTGCCACTTAGATTCTGTTCTTTTGCAATGCCTGGATACTTAAATCAGTTTGAAGAATAAAGATAATAGGCTTTAACATGTAATGGCCTTATAACCAGGTGCCTTTCCTGCCAATTCCTACAAATAGCTAATGTTCCCTTTTTCTGCACTTCCTTGTTTCTGTAAAAAGCTATTGCTTTGATGTTGGTCTCCCTATTGTATTCAAAAAGGATTTTCATTTTTCAGTGAATAAAGAAGGTGTCATAATTTTCAGAATTGAACACAGGAAAAAAAGCCAGTACAATAAAGAACAACCTTTTTTTCATTTTCTTTTCTTAGCCTAGAGGTTATTTTAACTATTTTAGCCAATTGAATGTGAACATTGTAACTACAGGTGACCCCCACTTTTCGAAAGCTCACGACACATGCCACTTCGCTTTTTCGAAAGACCTGCTTTAGTACCTGCTTTTGCTAAGAAAGACACCCAAGGAGGATTTTTGCTTTTACAAAAAAAAGGCAAGAAGCACAAATAGTGTTCAGTGTTGGTTTTGCGGTGAGCTGTGGGAGCAGCAGGTACACCCTGAGCATCGGGACACCCTGAGCATTGGGAGTGGCCCCGCCATGCGCCTGCTCCCGAAACCATGCTCAGCCTCTCAGCATCCAGCTCCAGAGCTCTGAGCTGTGCCTGAGAGCACCTGGGCTTGGTCTCAGGTTATTTGTGCATCCATCAGCAAGGTGTGTCCAAGGTTCAGAAAATCAAAACCTGAGAGGTGATTTTTGGGGTCTGGGAACGCTCAAAATATTTTCTACATAAATTAATTAATCACACCATTTAGCTTAGGAGAGTTTCCACAGGAAAGCTGTATTTTCGGATCACAGGGGAGATCTTTACTTCAAAAATATGTTCTTGACATTGGTTGTTTGGTAATATTGTGCTCAACAAAGATTTAGGTGATAGTGCTAAAACGGTTTTTTTCAGGGCTGGAGTACACTCTTCTGAATATTTTGGGTTTCTCTGAGAACAGACACTATCCTTAGCTTCAAAGGGCTAGCTAATTAAAAGCTCATAGTTAACCATTTAAGTATTGAAGATGTCATAATTCTCTATCTGCAAGGAGATTCATGCCTTATATCAATACGTCACCCAGAAAAACCAGTCTGGCTTGCTGTCTATATATTTTCTTAGAGAAATCATTGGTAACAAAACGCACCTGTTAGAAAATAAAATTCATCATGGAAAAGAGTCTGTGGTTTGTTTCACCAAATCAGCGTTAGTGACAAATCTCTCCTTGGTCAGCCCTCGTCGGCTGAGGTCATACTAAGGGAGCCCATGGATGCCCGCCCCCATGCCCCGAGTGAGGGGGACGTACAGGGACCTCGGCGGTGTCACCCCCGTCGGCCCTGCGAGGCTTCATCTTGGTGTAGTCCACGGGCAGCTCCCAGCAGTCATCCTCTCCCAGCTGGAAGCACCGGCTGCCCATGACTGCCTGCTGCTGGGGGGACATGGGCTCCAGGGGCGTCAGGACCGGGCAGCAGCTCTCCCGCGGCCGTGGCTTGTTCATGCTGAGGTCCAGAGTCCCGTTCTCGTCCACCTCCATGTCAGGGTTCTGCTGGACAGAGAGACACGGTAACCACGCAGCTCCACCCCCAGCTGCAGCTCTGCCTTCAGCCAGTGCAGAATCCAAACATGGATTCATCCTGCGGTCTCCCATGCACAGGCTCCCGAGGGGAGCAGAAGCGGTGTTTTGGGACATGTCTGCTGGCCCGCGCCTGGCCGCAACACTGGATGGCAGGTGCATGCGTCTATTCACCTGCTGACCTGTAATCGGTCTATCCATCTGTCTCTTACCTGCCTAGCTCATAGATCTACCGTGTATTTACCACCATCTTTATCTTCTTTTCTCTGCAATACATCTCCTGCTTTTAGAAATAAGCCTCGCCAGAAGAAAATCAAACAAGTGCCTAATCTCAACTCTATTCCAGCTCAAATAACGTTTAATAGATCAGAGATAGATGTGTGTTTATGCTTAACAATCGTCTTTCAGTTTCACCGATGCGGATACTTCGAGAAAGGGAGGGGGGAACAGACGAGGCAGAGGCACGGCGGGGTGAGGGAGAAGCAGCCAGACTTCACTTTGCACATGAAATCCTGTGATGAAGGGTATTTTCTGTTTTAAGGGAGGAGGGTGTGCAATCACAGTTCAAGTACCTTTACTGCAGTGAGTGCGGTCTGACTACTCTGTGCTTTAGCAAACGTGCAATTCAGCCTTGGCTTAAAACAATAAAGAGGTACTGGGTGAGTTTTGTTTGTTTGTTTGTTTTAAATGATGCTCTCAAACAGATAAAGAAGTCTTCAGAGCTCACCTCTAAGGAGGAGGGAGGCAAGGAAGGACACATGGAGGACAGAGCAGGAAATACTGCAAACAGCCCTCCACTTCTGTTCCCGGAGAGTTACAGTTTCTCGAGCAAAAATTTGATCTCAGAGCTGGCGTGAAAGTTGCTGCCTCCCCAAATGTCTAGCAGCTCCCTCCTCTGGATGTAACAGCAGAGGGCAGCTGCTTGGGATGGAAGCCCCATGCAGGCTGTTACCTGGAGACATGACAGAGCATTATTCTGCCTGAGCTCCTCCTGTCCGGGAGCACGCCTGCTTTCAAGCTCTCATACTCATTTAGCCTGCGTCACGTTGGACTTAATTCTCAGTCTTGGCTTTAATAAAGTGAAAGAAAAATGGGAAGGGGTTGCTTTCTTTTTTTTCCCTTGCCACAGAAGCTCTTCCATGCTAGCCTTGGATTTTAGCAGCCCTGACCACCATGAAATCGCATGCCCCTGACATGTCTCTAAAAATCTAGGAACAAAAATATTAATAGAAAAGAAAGCAGATGCAAAGCATAAAATGCCTGACCTTTCTCCATTCATACAAATTATAATTACTTAGAACAAGTAATGAGCTTGTTGTGAGGTTGTGAGCTCCTGGTGCCCATGCCCACGCAGCTCTAGAAATGCAGTCCCTTTGTTTTCTGGCGACGAGGTGACGGACCAGGTCTGCCTGCCCACACGTCCTCTGAGCTCACGGGCCACGTGCACCACCCGGCCCTGACCCGGGAGCGGCCCCGGGGCCCCTCGCTCCGGCTCTGACCCGCTGTCCGGCTCCTGCTGGAGCAACGAATCCATTCACAGAAAAGCAAGGCAGAGGCCTCCGCAGACCCTGACGCCGTGTCAGCATCTCTGAGGTTTCTGGACTAACGAGAGCTGGCCAGAACGGCGTGACAGTCCAGGTGGAAATCGGATTTCTACTTTTTGTTCCCTAATACTGAGCAACCAGCTGGGAGCTGAGGACCGTCCTGCACTTTACTTGACAGCGGGGCCACCCGCCCTCCTCGCGCTTGGGGTTCCAGGCGCCCGGCTATTGTCCGTGCAGCCACCCGAGGCCCCGTGAGGGTACCGGCTGTCCTCTGTTCACAGATACGCCCCTGGATCCTAAGGAGCAGCCTCCCCCACACGTCTTCTCTCACAGGCCTGGCAATAGCTCCTGGCTTACAAACCCGTCGTCCCGGGCGGGACGGCTCCCCGCACAGCTGTGGTCAGGGCCCCACCGGCAAGCGCGCTCCGAGGGCGTCTGCTGAGCGCCCGTGCTGGGGCTCGGGTTCTGCGGGCCGTGAGCTTGGGGTCGCCCCCCCGCCCCCCCTTGACCCCTCCGCCCCTTGGGCGTACCCGTGCGGTGCACAGGTCCTGCGGCTTGGTGGACAGGTTCTGCGGCATCTCGCGGCAGCGCGTGGACAGGTTGAGGATGGCCGTGGCGGCCATGTGCGCCGCCTCCACGTCGTGCGCGTAGTCGAAGCTGCTCTTGCTGCACGTGCTGCTCGCGCTGCTGCCGCCCCCGCAGCTCATGTTGCTGCTGCTGGGCGCGTAGCTGCTGGTGCTGCTGCTGCTGGGGCTGGCGTTCTTGCAGTACCGCTTTGCTGGGGAGACACGGGCACGGCGATGACCTGGGCCCCCGCGCCGCCGCCGGCGCACGGCACGCGCCCCGCCCCCCACACCACGCCCCTCCCACCAGCCCCGTGGGCACGCGCGTCCTGGCGGGGAGCGGGGCGCGTGGCTGGCCTCCCGGGGCAGAGCTGGGTGAACCGAGGGGCCACATGCGGCTGCGGGCCCACCACCCAATCTGTTTAAGGGCCGCGCCTGATTAGGACTCGGCCGCCTGACTTGGGGAGGGACTGGAATGCCAGCCTGCTCGGGACCCCAGGATGGCTCTCCCCATCGTGACTGCGCATCCGCTCAGTGGGCGGCGGGGACCCCACAGACCTCGTCCCTCCAGAGCCTGGCGGCTCCTTCCAGCCAGGAGGGGCCTCAGAGGCCAGCCGGGGCTCACTGCGTGCAAGTGGCGCAGCCTCACAGGCCCCTGTGCTTTTGGGAGGCGTCCCTCCAGCTGGGCATGCATGAGGGAACACCCCCTTCCCCAAGAAGAGCCCTACCCTGTGATTCTACTAAAGAGCCCCGTGGAGGAAGTGGCATGGTCAGGGACAGGGACTGGCGCACACCCATGGGCGTGGCTGAGCCCGGGTAAGCAGGGCACCATGGTGCGGTGCACGTGCACGCCACACATCGTTGGGCAAACTGACACCTGCAGGGCGCCCGGCTCGCGGGATGTACGGGTGACAACCTCCATCACCCAGAGCACACAGGTGTTTAGGAGCTAACATTGCTTTCATGGCTGTTTGGAAGTCTCCTCTGGCCCACGGGTGGGAAACACTTGTGGATGATTTTTTAGGGCCCTGTGTTCATTGCCAAGGGCAGCAAAGTCATAGGGTGTCCACCTGCGGGGCAGACACGTCTCCCCTGGAGTCCTGCCCAGGAAGGGAGTGGCCAGGGTGAACCCAGGGTTGAAGGAACCTCCCCCACACACATCTCCCTCACAGTGTCCTAGACTCCACCAGCGAGTCCCTCTTGCATGACCCCCATGCATCTTCGAACATCCTTTCCAAAGCAAGCTTAGCCACCTCTCCCTGTGTGTCCAACGTTGTCGCTAGCGGTCTGTAACCCAAGTAGCCCCTTAAGAGGACGTGCACAATGCTTTCCTCCCAAAGGGAAGGGGCCAACAAAGCAGAACTGAGCAACTGACCTCACATGGCCACCACGGTCAGTTATCATGAGCCACGCCAAGAAACTGCCCAAAGCACCGTATTCACATACAAGTGAACAAATAACCAAGCTTTCATCACTGATAACTTTCAACTTTGGACCCAAGACTGCTTTCATTTTGCCACCGAGCTGCACAGTGATGCTGGCACCAGTCCTCACTGCAGCCCCCACCAAAAGTCACCGAGCCGCTGCACAAGCAGATGACCATTTGAAGCAGGTCCCCTTGCATGGACCAGAGGGCTAACTGCACAAAGACCTCCCAGCATGAGGAGTCTGTGCGGGCCTCATCCCTCTCCATGAAGACGAATCAGCACACCTGTTGGTCTGTCTGGGATGTGACCTTTCCTTCCTCATTCTTCTGTGAGTGCCCCTATCTAAGCAGTAGAGGGCCCAGTATGGATGGCAGCAGTCTGGGGTCTGAGCACAGAGATGTCCCGTGGGGCCGAGGCAGCAATGCAGGGGGACCAGACAGAGACCCTCCCTGGGGAGGCGGCCCCTTGGGACCTGCGCCGCGGGCTCAGGGAGCCACACTGAGACAGCACCTTGTCTCCACATGGACAGAAGTCTGTGGGTTCACACCATTTACAATTTTGATATAAAAATAGGAATATAGAAATTGTGGGAGAAATGCAATAGTACTTATGTGAGGGTTCTTTTCCCTAGTGAGGGCTAGCTGCTGGCTCAGGAAAGAAATGGAATGCACATAAATAAGAAAAATGGCCGTTTTGTTTTGAAATGAGCAAATTTCAATTTCTAAAAGAGAGTCAGCAGGACGTATGTATACAGCCAATGGCAGCAAACTTTTGGTAAAGTGCATCTACTTCACCAGATGTTTGAGTCCTGAATGGCACCAAGTTGGTATGACTGGGCAGAATGCGAGCGGGTGAGCAACCTGGGGGTGACTTGTTGACGAGCCTGATTCAGGAGAGGCAGGTGGTACACGCATCCACGTCCCCTGTGTCTTTTCACAGAATGCAAGCACTCTTTTGTTTTGTTCAGAATGGAAGTAAGAATGTAGGTCCTCATAATTATCGCCAATTTGTAAAACGCTCACAGAGCCAGCATCAGTGGCCAGTGACCACGACAAAATGCACTTCCCCTTCCGATAAGGTGGCAGACAGAATTGGTCACTGTTCTTCTGGGTACCGGCCTGTCCCTGGCTGTGATGGAGGTCACGCCTCTCTGTGAGAGCACCACCACCCCGTGTGGTTACAGTGGTAGCCCTGGTACCGCGTGGTAAACCCCCTCTTCAAAGATTTTATCCCTCTCTTGCAGGAGAAAGAAAGACTCCATGGGATTTCTACTGGCTAAATATGACAAATTAAAAAAATGAAAACAACCACGTTCCAACCAGAGCCTTCGCACGCTGCCCTACTTGTGAGAGTCTCCCGAAATGTGTGTGTCTTCTTCTAAGATGTCCGCCTTCTTATGTATTAACATAAGGGAATAAATCAATGTGTCCTTACAGCCCAGACTTCCATGAAAACCCGACAGAGCACAGTGTAGAGATACGCGTCCCGAAGGCTCACCCCGCGGGGGACCTGGGTGGGTTTGGACGGCCTCGCACCCTCACGCACCGACCCTCACGGTGCCCACGCAGGTCTCTGCTGTGGTGAGTGCTACATGGGAAAAGGAGCTTTCTTGTGAGAATGTAGCTAGGTGGGGTCTGCGCACCGTCTGCTCACATGACTTAAAGCATCAAATCTCCATCTGGACTCTTCACTTCCCACTCACTCATTCAGACAGATAGTGTTTGCACAGCCGGCATCAGCACTGCGGTTTGAATCTGAGGACAGGAGCTTACGGTCCAGTGGGAAGACAAGCTGTTTACCCATGAGACTGCCCAGGGTGAGACCCAGAGCTGCACGTGGGCCGAGAACAGGTGTCCGGTTCTGCACAAGCACCATCGTGAAGGAAGTTAGGAGGAAGCCTGCTGAGTGCAGGCCAGGCTGGGTGAGACAGGACCCAGTGCTGAGAGGCTCTGGGATCAGCTGGACGGCGGGGCAGCCACCTGCAGGTGTGGGCAGGAGGGCGGGCATTCCAGGGAGAGCCGGCTGGGGGCGGGGGTGAGGAGGCCAGAGGCCCGGCTCCAGAGGATGCACCTCGGATGGCCACTGAGCAGTTCTGGGAGGTGTTGCCGGCAGGAGGCCTGGACAGGGGCCGGGGCAGAAGATGGGAGGTTGAGCACATTGGGGTGGCACTGAGTTTGTGGAGCAAAGAGGAAGTTCAAAGCCGATCACAAAGTGTTTAGCTTGGAGAATTTGGAAGTTGGGAACGACAGAGAGGGTGGCTCATGAGGGGAGCCCATGGGAGCTCTGGGAACGTATGGGTTTAGACAAAGCTTGGGGTGGTGATAAATTGCCCAGAGATGCAAGCGGAGATGTTTTAGCCTGGGTTTGGCAGCTGTTTCTGCAAAGGACTGGACAATAGTCTAGGTTTTTACGGCACAACTGTTGGGCTTTGCCCTTGTGCGAAACCAGTCACTGACCAAATGGATGAGGGCGGCGGGGCCCCATATGGCTTTACCTATGAACACTGAAATTTGACTTCACATAATTTTTACATGTCACAAACTTCTTCTTTTTTACCCAACAATTTAAGCATATCAGAGCCATTCTTAGCTCACTGTAACAAACAGGCTGGGGAGATGCCAACCTGGTGCTCATGGGAGAAGGCAGGGCCAACATACACGTTTGGGAACCCCTGTCCTTTCCCACCTTCCCTCCTTCACTACTCCTGCATGTGGACTTCCACGCCCTGTGGGAGAGTGCCCCAAGCTCCTCAGCATGGTGAGTGACGCAAAGCCATTTCCTCACCTGCCCCACAGGGCCTGTCCCTGCTCTCAGGTGCCTTGTCATGCCACGGGTCTTTCATCTTTGCATAATTTCTACTCAAGCTCATGATCAAGTGCAAGATTTGCCATTTTGTTAAAGCTCCTGCTAATTCCTCCAGAATGGACTCCTTGCTTCACTTTCTGCATGAGTGTGTATTTCACTGTCTTCCATTTGTTCCCTAGCCCTTCCTTGAAACTTGTCATCCAGAAGGAAAGAAAAGGTAGATAGATGATACATGATAGAGTGGATGGACAGGTGGATGGATGGATGGATGGATGGATGGATGAATGGATGAACAGATAGATGGATCAGTGGATGAATGGATGGATGGATGGATAGAGGGATGGATGGATGGATGGATAGATGAATGGATGGATGGATAGATGGATAGATGGATGGGTGGATGGGTAGATGGATGGATTGATGGGTGGATGGGTGGATGAGTGGATGGTTGGATAGATGAATGGATGGACAGATGGATGGATATATGGATGGGTGGATGGATGGATTGATGTGTGGATGGGTGGACAGATGGATGGATAGATGGATGGGTTGGATGGGTTGATGGATGGATTGATGGGTGGATGGGTGGATGGTTGGATAGATGGATGGATGGGTAGATGGGTAGACTGGTGAGTGGAAGGATGGATAGATGGATGGATGGATGGGTAGATGGGTAGACTGGTGGGTGGAAGGATGATAGGTGGATGGATGGATGGATAGATGGACAGATGGATGGGTGGACAGGTGGATGGGTAGATGGGTAGACTGGTGGGTGGAAGGATGGATAGATGGATGGATGGATGGGTAGATGGGTAGACTGGTGAGTGGAAGGATGGATAGGTGGATGGATGGATGGATAGATGGACAGATGGATGGGTGGACAGGTGGATGGATGGATGGATGGATGGATAGATGAATGGGTGGATGGATGGATGGATGGATGGATTGATGGGTGGTGGGTGGATGGATGGATAGATGGATGGATGGATGCATAGATGGATAGATGGATGGATGAATGGATGGATGGATGGATGGATGAAAGGGTGGGTGGATGGATGGATAGATGGATGGGTGGATGGGTGGATTGATGGATAGATGGATGGATGGGTGGATGGGTGGACTGGTGAGTGGATGGGTAGATGGATGGATGGATGGACGGCTGGATGGGTAGACAGGTGGATGGATGGATAGATAGACAGACAGAAAGACAGCAACTAGCCAGTGTCTGGAAGAATGCAGGCACTTAAATCAATGTGTGTTGAGTGTTTTTGAACACAGGTGGTAGGATCTAAGGTGTGATATCCAAAGACTGGGGTGAAAGGTCCTACTTTTATATCCTATTGGACATTTCCATGGCCCTGCCCCTTGCTCCCAAGCGTTATGCTCCCCCCTGCCCCCACAACAGGCTCATTTCACAGTTATTCTTTAGGAGCAATGACTCAGTTCTCTGCACCTGCAGCAAGCCTTGGGGAGGACATTCTTGTAGGGTAACCACAGACCACAGTTGCTCTGTGGTGTCTACTGCCTGGTGCCTAGGATCAGGGATAGCTCTCAGCTTACATCCTATCAAGAAAACTGACCTGGCCACTCTCATCCTTAATGGGAATTTTCTTTGATGTTTTAAAAGTCTGTTAGATGAATCTAGTGTGAGAGAAATGGAGTCACTGAGGTTCTTCTCAGTAAATTATGGTAAAAGGTTGCCTTTCCTTCTGTTTTTTTGTTTGTTTGTTTTGTTTCTTAAGGACCTAATACTGAAGTTTTCGTTCTGTATTCTTGTTTCCTTGTGAGCCAGCTGAAGAGCTTGGCTCAGCCGAGGTTTCTGACAACAGGTATGTTCAGGGTGGGTGAGAATGAATGCCAGTAATTACAAGTTTGTCCAGCTCTTTATAGCTGTCAGAACTGAGAATAGACCCAAGTAGGTTTGACTTCGAATCCACTAACAGGTGTTGCAAGCATGAAAATGTGCTCTACTGGTCATGACCTCACCCAAAGTCCAAACATAATGACAAGGTCAAGGGAATCAGGCCACACAGACCAATAGCAGCAAACAGGTGCAGGAGACAAGCAGGTAGAGGAACTCCTCCCCGTTCACTGCGAGATATTGCTGAGTTGGAAATTGTATAAACAGAATTCTTAATTATGTGAATTCCATTTTTTTGATCCTTCATTTGCAATCAAATGGATCAAAAGGATAAAATTATAACAAACCAGAAATTGGTGAATTATGATTAAATAAAACAAAAATAATTATTTTCTGTTATACCCTAAGCCACTCTCTTTTCCACTTACATTTTTGTTCCTCTATATTATGAATTGATACACGCAAGGATAATCAATATGTGATACGTCAAAGAAATACTAAATTTCACTCACTATGCATATTAATTGTTATTAAGGCAAAGAATGACTAACATAGAAACATGTGCAGCAACTCACATTGAATTGTAAAGAGGTTTTGGAACTCCCCAAACATTCAGTTTAAATGAATATTTTTGTGTGCTATGATTTTAATTAAATATCTTTTTCAGAGAGCTAAAAGAACTTTAAAGGCCCATCTCCTCTCCTCTGCTACAGAACAACAAGATAAGACTTATAAATCATCAGAACTTCTACAACCCTCAACCCAGTCAGGAAAATTTGCCAACTCAGTCCACATATCCTAGAATTCGAAGCAGAAATGCAGTTAGATAAATATGTGACATCAGAGAAATGCAGTCACCCCACTCCCGTTCAATGACTTACCATGTTAATGCAGGGAAGCAATGGGAGCTACCTCAAATAGCTGGCAGAGGGCTCAGAACCCACGAGGGCAAGTAAGTTACCCCTTCCTGAGAGGCAGGTGGTGTTTTATTTGTTCTACCTGCTCTTTGTTTTTATTGGATGCATGGTAGCTATGTCACCACGGGAGGCCCTGCCTGGACCCACTCCCCATGGGGAAACAGGCCAGGGTCGGCACCTGCTGGAAGGAGGCCCGGTGACACCAGCAGAAGTTGTCTGCTCTTGGGTGCACCTTGGAGTCACTGGTAACTGAGATAATGTCACCGTACAGGCAGCATCCCTGGGCATGCCAATTTAGTTGGTCCAGGGTACAGCCTGGGCATTAGAATGCTTAAAATCTCCCCAGAGGGCTCTAATGTGCATCCAAGGTTGAGAACTCTGAGGGAACACAGAGTTTCTCAACGGCCAAGAACTCTGGGTGCTACCTCTGGCACTCCCAGGTTGCTCTGTGTTGGAGCCATCCACGAAAGAAAGTTTATGAAGATAAGGACACTGCCTCAGCCACAGTAGGAAACCCATGAGCCAATGGCTCTCTGTCTCCACATTCTGAAAGTGGCCAGAATGTGCTGCTTTGGAAGCATTGAGGGAAGGGCATCTTTCTCCATCCTGCAAGCTTCCGCTCACCCACACCTGGGAGCACACAGGGGAGCCCAGCCTGTGGGTGTGCTTTCTTTGGTACCCATGAAGCGACCCCATGCTCGACCAGCTTGTAGGAAACGGATATACACAACAACAACATTATCAACGGCAAGCGTGACTCTCACTTAAAGAGTGTGCACCTCCTACCATCATATCCTTTGGGGGATATATCCCTGGTTTGCACCTTGGGAGCTATGGCCCGCTTGCCATAAGTATGGCTGTCGTAAGTGTTGTACTCAAACGAGGTCTTGGAATATTTCTCCAGCTCTTTGGCCAGGTTGGAGCGAGGCGTGGTCGTTGGGACGTTGTTTCTGTAGCCGTAGTGAGGGATCTCGAGCTGCTTTACAAAGCACATTGGCCTGTAAGCAAACAAGAAATAATCGACAGCTTGCTTTCCCGCGGCTTCAGGTAAGACACGGTTCACGTCAGCATTAGGGCACGTCGCTCAAATCCACCTTCCTGAGCAAAGACCTTGTGTGCTGGGATTGTAGAGCCCCAAATAAGCCAACTGCCTAACTGTCAGCATGCACAAGAAGAACACAAATGAGACATTTAACTTTCCCCCTTATTTCCTTTTCTGTTTGGGGCCCTGGCTGGCTGGCTGGACTCAGGAGGTGTGAGAACAGGAAGGACCCCGCGCTTGGGCATTCCTTTCTCAGGGGCTTCAGAGAGGAAGAGTTAACAACAAAGGAGGTGAGCTAGTAAGATGTTTTCCTTAAAATAAAAATAAGAAGAAATAAAGAACAACTTTTAGGGACATGGGCTGACCCAAAACGAGATAAAAATGTACATGGCTGGACATGAAAATGGAAAACAAATAGCAGCCGGTACGTCCAGTATTTTTATGGGTGGTCATCCAGCAGTCCAGACTCTGGAGGAAAGTATTTAAATGGAGGAACACTCAGTTATTACACACTCATACCTGGTTTTGCGTATGTATGTGTGTGTCCACCTATTTCCGTATCTCATGGGTGGGATTTTTAAACTGTTTGGGGCAATGGCTTTAGACTTACAGACAAGTGGTGTGGAGGGGTTCCCTTTGCTCTACATTCAGCTTCCCTCAGGCTAATAGCTTTATCGAATCACCAACACATTTATTTTGATTTCATTTATTCAGCCTATTCTTGCCAAATTAACAAAATACTGTGGTGATTCGTTGAATGCCTGTCACGTGAGGCATTTTACCAGGTAATCTGTGGCGGTGCATACAGGAATAGATCCTCGCCTTGCCTTCAAAGAGCACGCAGAATGTGACATTATTTTAAGAGTCCACCTGCGGAGTACGCTGTACAGGTGGGTAAACTGTCCAGGCGAAGATCCAGGGGAAGAAACTACAAAGGTGAAAGGTGAGAGGCAGGAGCGCTAACAGCATCTCTGGGCACTCGCGGGAGCCTGGTGACCTGGGGCCAGATGGGGGAACTGCTCCGCCCAGTGGGCAAGGCCCAAGGGTTTGGGCTGGGGAAGGCATGATCCCCAAGCCTTCAGAAGATTAGGACCAGCTCAGAAGGAGTGGGGCTTGGAGCAGAGGTGTCGGTGACCAGGTGGCTCTTGGTGAGGGACAGAGGTTGTGCTGGAGGCCCACCACCCGCAGCCAGGAGTGGAAAATTGGAAGAGGATTGGAAACCCTTACGTCTTCCTGTTGCACAATCTGCTTGAAGACTTTTCAACTCTTAGTTAAATGAGCGTGGATTCATTTATTTATTTCTAAAGATTTTTTAAAATTTTTTTATTTATTTGAAAGAGGGAGAGAGAGAGAGCGAGCACAAGCAGGGGGATCAGTAGGCAGAAGGAGAGGGAGAAGCAGGCTCCCCACTGAGCTGGGAGCCAGACCCAGGGCTCCATCTCAAGACCCTGGGATCGCCAACTGAGCCCCCCAGATGCCCCATGAGTGTGGATTTCAATTGTCTTCTCTTTGCTCCCTTCCGTCTCCTTCCTTGCCCACTGAGTGAGTGTGCCCCGTGTGGAGACACCATGGGGAATGCACACAGGGAGACCGGGTCCGCCAGGCCTTCCCCACACCTGGGACGCTGGGGCCTGAGGTGTGCCCCGGGAGCTGGGGAGCACGGGAGCACCCCGGAGACGAGGCTATGGTTGGTGTGGATGCTTCCCTTTGGGCCCTGTCCCACCCACGTCGCCATGCCCAGCCAGAGGCGCATAAAGAATATTGTTTGTAGATGAACAACATCAGCCCACACTCATGTGTTCCATTATCATTTGCAGTGGTTTTCCATGGCTTTGGCCTGTGGAAAGGGACCCGTGGCCACAAAACCACAGAAACAAGGTCAAAGGTTGTTGCTTCAGGCTCTGCATCGGTGTGGAGGCTCGTGTCTGAACGGGGTGGTGTTTGCAGTCTGCAGCCCCCAGGGAAGCATCTCCCAAGTGGTGCCCACTCAGCTCGATGGGAGGGTCCCCAGGAGTGGGGTTCAGGGCTCTTTCTAGCTCTGGGGTCTGGCTAGAGGTAACAAACATGGACAGAAGCCCTGAGCCTCGGTTGCTCTCTACCTGTTCTCAGTTCTCTTGGCTGACAGCCATTCCTTCTCAGATGGACGGAGCCCCAGGGGGAGGGCTCCCACCTGGCACTAACTAACCTTATCTTTTGGGAGGTGGGGGCTGCGGGCTCACGGGGGCGTGTTAGACCGCTAGCACCCCACACAGAAAAATCTACAAGAATGTACACCAACATTTATTGAGGGTTTATCTCTAAATAGTAGGGTTATAAGTGGTTTTTATTTTCCTGTGTTTGTCTATTTAAGTATTTCTCATTTTCCATAAAGTTTTCAACTTTTCGGGGCACCTGGGTGCCTCAGTCGTTAAGTGTCTGTCCTCGGCTCAGGTCATGATCCCAGGGTCCTGGGATCGAGCCCCGCATCGGGCTCCCTGCTCCACGGGAAGCCTGCTTCTCCCTCTCCCACTCCCCCTGCTTGAGCTCTCTCTCTCTGTCAAATAAATAAATGAAGTCTTTAAAAAAAAGATTTTGTTTTCCATTGAGGGACAAAAGGGTGCATAACGACTATGGTAAAATCCCTTCAGAAAACTAAACTAATGCACAACAAAACCAAGCAGGTGTTCATGCCACTTAAATGGTGCTTTTTCCCAAGTGATTTATCCTAAAAGAAATAATGTAATGGAAGCAAAGTTGTGTGCACGTGTGTGTGCGTGTGTGTGTGCGTCTGTGCGCGCGTGTGTGTGCTCGCTGCTCCCTCCATAACCGTGGAACGTGGACTCTGCCTCCGAGGGACGACCTGCTTCCTGCACCGGGGCACCCCGCCCCAAGAAGGTGGGCAGCCGTGCGGCCTGCAGGACAACCCTGTGAAGACTTGGGAGTGTGTCTCTGCCATTGTCTCCTCTAGCGATGGTTTGAAGGGGACAAGGGGAAGTGAGAGTTGATAGGCGGGATCTGGGACGGGGGGTGTCTCCCTCCACCCCTCCCAGAATCCTCCCTGCCTAAACTGAAAGGGCTGGACCAGGTGATCTCCGAGGTCTTTCTGTGACAGTGACTGAGTGGGTTCAGGTCCTTCACTCAGCCGCCCTGCACCAGGCTCCTCCATGCCCCCTCGGGGTGTCTGGGGACAGAGGAGCCGGCCCCTCGGAGAGCTACCCCACAGAGAAAAGCTCTGTACGTCCTGCGAGGTGGTGCCATGCTGGAGGCTGGTACTACGCCCTGTCCTCCAAATTAAGATAAAATTACTTTGGGCATCTCATTAAGGTGGGAGCTTCCCTCTTTCATCTAATAGTCACAGAATCACGAAATAACATCCAGGCCAGAAAGAAAACCAGGAACACATCATCTACTCTCATTTGAAGACTTACAGTGGGCGGACAGAGTCCCAGAGTGGCCAGGTGGCCCCCTGCCCTCACACAGACCCCGCGGGCGAGGGGTGGGCCTGGGGCTTGGCTCTTATAACTGCACCAAGCGACCACCTGCGTTCCTGCCGCGGAGCGAGACTGCCTGCCTCCCCCAGGGCCCCTGGTGCCCGGGGGTGCTGGATCTCATGACATGACATGCTTGGCATTTGGTACCTTAGCACTCGGTCTGAGGCCTGGTTGGACTTGGACACATCACAGCTCTGGTGTTTCTCTTGGGCCTTTGCCAATTTCTCTGCTGCAGCAATAGGGCATCCAGAGAGGCTGCAAGGACAGAAAGCGGATTTAATCGTCTTTACCAGCGGCTCCTCGGCACACGTCGCCCCCTCCCCGCCTCTCCCTTGGTCGGCACCAGAAGACCCGAAGCAGCTTCCCACACCTGCTGTGGGTTTTCCTGAGGGGATGGCTAGGAGAGAGGGAGAAATAATCATGGTTGTTGTGTGCATGATGTCCTGTGGGTCTCCAGTGGACGACGCTGAGGATCGTCCGTGCATAAAGCACACTCAACCCTCTCCAGCAACTGTGAGCCGAATTCTGGGTCATTCAAGAGGACACGAGCGAGTTGAAATTGTAGACACAGATTCCACTCTAGGATGTTTCTGCAGATGAGGATCAAGCCGCCTGGGTGGGATGAGTTTCTAAAAAGCCCAGGAATGGCAGCTCTCCGACTGGTGTCAGATGACTGTGGGAGCGCCACTGACCGTAGCGCTTGGGCTTCCCCCCGACCAGCTCGTCCACGTCCTCGCCGGGAGGGGGCATGGAACTGGGAAGAAAGCAGAATGGTCTCTAGGACCACTCTGAAGTGTTTTTTTGGAACTAAATATTTATGGGAGAGACAGAAGACTGGCTCTCTTGTGTTTGCGTTTATTCTTCATGAAATCATGGTGTCTACTCTTTGTGTGTCTGCACAGATAGCTACCCATAGGTACAGATGCGTACGCCACGTGTGCATCATGTCTCACAAACACGCCATTGCCAAGGACTGATGAGGGAGCTGATGCTGTGAACACCATACTGAACAGCGCTCAGCATCAGCCTTTTACCAATCTACTAATCATTCCTTTCTTCTGCAGACTAAGCCCAGAACAATCTCTGAGGGGCACAGGGTTGTGATTTGTTTCATTATGAATTTAACACAAGTAACCAAATTTACCAGACAGGAAAAAATTAAGATGAAACTCATAATAGTTTCCTTCATTTAGCCATAATTTTACATGAGCTTCTGAGGCTGAAAGAATAGGGTGTAAGATACATTTTAACAGATCACTCCAGCTATTGATAAAGAAGTATTTGATATGATCTGAGTATTATGAGCAGCTTTGTGAAAGTCAGAATAGGAAAGGAAAGAGAACTGGAATTTGTCCATAGCAAAAGTGTGATTCCAAGCATGCCTATTTACCTGGCTCACGGTCATGCCAAACGTTCCCCAACTAGATCTTTTGGGCAGCTGCTAGTGTTTTGGTGATGTCCACACTGATGACTGGGGTTTTGGCAGAGTTTTGGGGGCAACCTAGTTAGGTCACAGACCATCCAGTCTTCGTGCATTAGAACCCCTCCCTGTATGATGCACACAGCACAGCTCCTCCCCACCGCTGGATGGGAACTGAGCGTTCCCTGCAGATGGCTCTGTGGATCCATCTTAAATATTACACCAAGGAGGGAACCTTCTGGGGGACTCAGGATGAGTGGGTGGGACAAGTAAAAAATCCACTCTGCAAAAAGGGGTCTCAGGATTTGCCTTCCCCATGCACGATACGCTCCCAGAGAGTGGCCTGTCTCCCGGGGCAGGAAGGGGAGGTATGCAGGGGTGCACTCCCTCCGGAGGAGGTACGGGTGTGGCTGTCAGGGAACCGCCTTTCCCGCACCGGCGTGGGGCACAGGAGCGCTTTGCTTACCTTCTGTGCGAGTTCCTGTTGCTATTTACATGCCCTCGCCCTGTGCAGCCCGGAGTGGGACACTTGAGAACATTCTCATGCATGGCAAGAACTTGACAAGGAGAGGCAGAGAAGACAGCCCAGCATTAAAACATAGAAATGGTCCGAATACAAGAATATGCAATCATTTTAACAAAAGCTGGGTTAGTTTACAATGGACAGTCCTACACACATTTGTAATGGACATGGTCAGGAAACACATGTAGGAAGGAGAAGAAGGTTGTCTCAACCTTAGTGTCATTGGCATGCAAAGCAGGGTGCATGGGGTGGGGGCTGTGGAGGTCGGGAACGTGGTAGCCGACTTCCTCCAGACGGGGCAGGGAAGCAGGGCCTCCCTACATCTCCCACACATCAGCCCGAATATCGTTTAGCCATGTAACAGCACGTAGATTGGTAATTTTTAAAACATGCCTGTGCTCTGGAAACACACAGTATGATGAAGGCACAGTGGTCATGGGTGAATAGAGACCCTCAAACCTAATTTGTAAATAGAATGAATTAAATAATGACTTTTCATCTGGGAATCAAATATTGTATTATTCTGCCAACGGGATGAGCTAGAATAGTAAGTGTTATGCTGTGTACCCTGTAAAGTCAGCACGGGGACCCTGTGGGGTGGGGTGCCGCAGTGGGAGTAGGCAAGGCAAGCAGCCTGTTGCTGGGAGGTAGTGTTTGAGTTTACGTGGGGCAGTAACAGGCCTGGACAGTTTGCATGTCTTCTCCTGTCTGGTCCTCAGTGAGCCCATGCTGCTCTGGGGGAGCTGGGTGACAGGTGCTAGTGGGAAGCCATGAGGACTGACCCCAGCCCTGGCCCCCACATGACTGTCTGCATTGTGGCAGCAAGACCTGGGGGTGCTTTCCCTGCCAGCGAGGTTTACCTCACAGCAGGACCATGAGAAACAAAGTCTGCCCAACTGGTTATGAATCCTCTACAATTTTCCTCCTTCTCTAGAACAATCTCTCTCTTCCCCGAAGTCTACATGCTATTCCCATTGGGAGTCGTCCTCCCTCCTGACCAGGTCCTTACAGAGTGGCTACATTCTGGCTTCATCTTTAGTTCTGTGGCTCCCATGTCCTCCTGACATGGTCGATGCTCAGTAAGCACTGATAGAATGAGGGTGAGCCAGCCTTTGGCTCACTGTGTGTTGGGGGGCTGGTTGGAGGGGTGTCAGGAGGCCTCCCTCCTGGGGACCCTGCCCTGGGCCCTGCCTGCTTGCTCCCCATCTCCCACATGAGGCTTCATTCTGCGCTCCCACCTGGCCTCCACTCTCCCCTCCAGGGCCTGGATTCACCTACGTCGTTCTTGCTTTAGATGATTTTCCCATCTTCCTGTTATGGCATCACATAAACCCTTCCCATGACACGGCCTCCCTCTCAAATCAATATGTCTTTCCTTTCCGTTGATGCTACACTTTTCGAAATAAAATCTTCCCTGGAGATAGCAGACCTTCGGCGCCTGGGCATGGCACAGATCCCAAGCAGACGGCCACGGTCCGTCCCACGAGTGTAGACGCGACTCCTTCCCGGCCGGGTCAGCGGGGGCCGGGCTGAGCCCGCTCTGCTGTCCTGCGGCTGTGCCCTGCCCCCGTCTCTCAGCCCCACACGGTCCTCAAACCTCTGCTGCATCTGCGGCTCCCGTGCATCCCAACCCCCCTTCTCTCTCTCTGAGCCGTCAGTGACCTCTGCTGTCTGTCCCCCCGGACTTCCTCCTCAGGCCTCCCCGCATGGGCCGGACCTTTCCAGAACAGCTCTGCTCCCTCTTCCTCGGCTTTGCATTCTACACACTCATGTCCCAAACTCCCATTTTCAGCTCCCATTCCTGCTTGCTTTATGCCTCCTCTCCTTGGTTTCTGCCGCAGTGCTGAGAAAGCAGGTCCCGGGAGCCGCCTCTGCAGCCGAGCCCTCCAGACCCGGAGCCCCCGGCACTCCCCGCCAGCCAGGAGCCGCGGAGCTCTCTTGTCCTCCCTTAGTGCGGCCCGCTTCTCCCACGCTACATCCATCGGCGGAGTCCCTCCTTATGGCTGCCAGGTGGGAATTCTCCGCATCACCTCCTGCCCCTCCCTCTCTCCTCCTTCATGCCGCCTGTGTCTGGAGCGTGTTTTGAACTCCTCCCAGACTTTCCACCCCTGGCCACTGCCTCCAACACCCCTGGTGTCCTGTGTGGACGACCACGACAGCCCCTGGACAAGCCGCGGACCCCTCCTCTCCCTCAGGGCCAGCTCACTGCGACCCCAGGGAAGCCTGTGGTTCCCTTGGGCAGCCTGATGTCTCAGGTGTGAGTCACTGGCCGGGGAGCCCCTCCCACTGCGGTCACCTTCTGTCTTGAGTGCACGGCCCCCTCTCAGCTGCGCTGGGAGCTCTTGGGGGGCCGGAACCACATCCTGTCCAGTGGTGCGTCCTCGGTGTTTCTAGTGCAGCGAGCTACCAACTGACTACTCGACCACCTTCAACTGGACAGAAAGGATGACTGGGGGAGACTGGCCCAGAAAAAAAATGGAAAAAAAATCTAAAGCCTAACAAAAAGATATGCCCCCTGAGGATTCTAATTTTTTCTCTTTTTAAGTTCTTATGTACTGTAAAGAACTACGTGTAAGTATTTAGAAACGGTTTTCTGTAGATGCTCTGGAAGGCAGTCTCAAGATTGGTGTTGAGTGGACCTCCCACCTCCTCTGGGTGAAGGTAAGCCCAGGTGCGGGCTGACCCCTCCTCTGTGGGAGCACAACCCTTGTTTCTACTACATGTAGACTTTTCCTGCGAAAATAAGGAGTCGGGAGAATTCCTCAGCCAGGGAGAGGAACAGATTTTCTACTCGGGAGGCGAAAACATGTACCTTCTAGAAAAATTGCATCAGGAAGCTCTTCCTAAGAGGTCAGTGCCGGTCCTCAAGCCTCAGTGCACAGAGCGGCCGTGGCACGCCCAGAGTCTCGGCCAGTGGCACCGACCAAGACCGGAGCAGCAAGCCAGGCCCAGGGCAAAGGGACAGGCTCGGGATTCTGACAGATGGGGCCTGAGATCTGGGCTCCGCTCTCTGCTCGGGCAAGCCGGTACCTGCCCACGGTGGCTGGCAGACGTGGAGCGTCTTCAATTTGCCAGGCGCCGAGCTAAGCCCGGGGAGGAGAGGGTGAGGCCTTCTGCTCCCCGCTTTCCTTGTGGGGGAACCGGGGCCCGTGGCGCCCAGCTGGGCTCGCTGGGGAGTGAGCGAGGCTGCGCGTGGCGGTGCGGGCGGAGCGGTCGGCTCGGACAGCGCTCAGACGCGGAAGCTGTTGCGTTCAGACCATGCTGGCTCCTGCTCATGTAACACACAGGCACGGCCATGCACTCAAATGCGTTCCCCTCCTTACTCTGCACGCCTGTTCACACGGCAGTTACCAGAAACATGGGTTTCTTATCTTCAGTAGCCATTCGAAAACCTGGCAGCACAACAGCTTCTAAAAATATTTCATCTGAAAATGTTCAGCTAAACCTGTTTTGAAGCCTCAGCTACTGTTAGGAATCTCTCTTTGTTCTGACAGATTTGCGCCTCAAGAACTCCAAAGTTAGCCATTTTGATGGGACAACCCTCAGAAACTCCTCTAAACAATCACCTGGTCATCCTGACGCATCTCAGCCAAGCTATTCCATTTGCCTACTAGAAATTGTGTCTCAGTTCACGAGGAAAATCCTCGACATACCTTAGGCTCAAAATCAAGACCGTAGACTCATCTTGTCATTTCTGAAAATGTGCCTTTTCCCCTGAGCAATCAATACTAATTGTATCTAAATAGCTGGCAAACTTTATGTGCTGAGAAAAAGATAAATAAAAGACGTGTACATCATTTCAGTTTCAAAATAAATGTAGTTGTGTTCATAATAAGTTGTATATTCTCAGAACCTAACTAAAAGAATGCTTCTGATCTGGACCCACCCGATTTAAACTAAGGTTTGTTTGTGTGGAAATGTTGGGACAGCCGTGACATGAAGCAGACTTTACAAGCGAAATGCGATAAAATACAACTACCAGTACCGGCTCATCCATAAAGAAGTCTAGATCACTGGGCAAGAGGAGGCTCAAGGACCTTTCTCTCGCGGATTCATGGGAGTTCAGCTCTGCAGGGGTGGGGTAGAGACTATCTGAGATCTCTTGTATGATTTGTGAGAGATGAGGGGACAAGTGACTTGCCCAAGGTCCCCAGTAAGTCAGAAATGAAAACGGGAACGGAGCCCCAGCCCGTCCGCTAGGGACCCACGCTGGGCGGTGGGCTGCCGTCCTGGGCCACCGGGCGGGAGTGGTGTGGACAGCCCCTGCAGGCTGCTCAGGATGAGGAGGGGCGGGGAGACGAGGTTCAAGGTTGGGCTGCACTGACATGGAATGACAGAGGCACGTGGCTGACACAGACAGGGCCGTGGGCGTGCGCGCCCCCACGGGCATTGGCAGAACATGGACTTACTTTCCGGAGGGACCCTATCTTTGTGCGGGCATCCGGACAGACTGCGGTGATGTGGGTAAAGCCCGGTTACGTGGCCGGTTCCATCACACCCCGGGGTGGGACACTTGCTCTCTTTCTTTTCTGCTCTCGAGGGATCTAAAAGCGACAACAGGTGTCAAGAGAATGAATTTTTTACCCATCCAAGACAAAGATGATTAATTAACAACCTGAAGAGACCTTGATAAATAAAGAAAAAAAGCAGGTGTCAGGGGACAGGCTGTGACATAGATTTGCGTAGGTACTTTGGTTTTGGGTGATTTTTTGACCTTAAACAGCATAATCATGGATCATAAAATATTTTACTTTCTTTGCTGGTAGAAAAAAAAAAAAGACTCTCCCTACCTTAGCTCATGATTAATTATTTTCCCGTGTGTTACATGATAAGCTGTGTTGCTCAAAGAAATCAACGTAAATAATGATGAGACAGTGACCTTCTCAGAGAGCCAGACCATTCGACGATCCTCAACAATCACTCTGTGAAATTCAACCAGGGAGCACGATGCCTTTCGAACACTCTGCCATTCGACAGTTTCTGTCTCATTGGGCGCTCGAATCGTTTACACTCTTAGGTGCAAAATTTTACTGCTGTTGGAGGTTGTCATCTTGCGACACTGCTCCACAGCCCACCGATTCAGAGATTTTCTGAAAATAAGCTGAACTCTTAGAAGGCACTGTAAGCAAATGACCAGAATGGTGAAAATCCCGCCCGACAGGGGAGATGGGCAATAAAAAAAAAAAAAAAAAAAAAAAAAGTTTCAGAAGGTGCTGGAGCAATCGTTTGCCTCGATTTCTTCATCTGTGCTTGGAACCAGAGGAAGGATCTTAACGATGCTGTGCATGCATACACAAAATTAAGAGGTAATGGTTTTACACAGCCCGGTTGGCTCTCTGCAACCCCAGTCGAGGAAGGAGCAGAGCAGACCTTTGGTCAACACTTGAATGCCAAATGCCAGAAATACAATGCTACTGCTGGCAAAATTATTTCTATATCCAGAATTGACCACAGTTCATCAGTGTGCAGAAAATAGCTCCAGAAGATATTTCTAAGATAAAGCTCAGACTGAGTAGTAATGAAAGTGGGCAAAACATTATTTTTGAGTCAGTTTTTGAAAACCAGTTGCACACACCATCAACAGACAGTGACTACGCTGGTTTGGTCCAGGAAGGGCGTGTTTAATGTCTCCTTAAGGTGTAACACTCTCCTATCCATGTCTCATTTACCAGGCCAATCGTGACAGCAAGAAAATGTATGTTTGGTTCAAGTTTTTTGAATTCTTACATGCATGTGAACTTGAAATAGACAAAGGGCTCACAGGAATATATAAGCATTTTTATGTTTATATAAAAAACTCACCCCCCCTTTCTTTTTTTAGCTAGGATTTTATTCTAGGTAATTCATCTTTCAGGTCCTGGGTCTGTGAATTAGTGCCCTGCTTGAGGGGCATACCCTGGATACAGCTGCAAGAGTCTCCAAAGACAACCTGATATTCTGTTGTTGCAGCTTTCGTTTGTAAATATCTTACTGGGGCTTCTCTTACACATGCAATCAAAAAGCCTAGCATTTTATTGCCTTTTGGGTAGTTTCATAATAATATTAGTATGATTTAATTAATGTAAATATAAAAGTAAGTGCACAGTAACAGTTTCACAGGAAAATATTCATTATTGAAGATTATAAGTTAAATGTAAATAGTGTTTAAAAGGTAAAAAAGAAACCCTAAATAGTAACTATTATTCATCATTAAGTGACTCTTCTTCATTAGTACACGAATAGTTTCCTAACAAGTTATATTATAGCGCAGATTTCCAAAGTGTTCTGAAGTTAAGTGCAGATCTGCACAGAAACAAGTGGCTCAAACAATTTCAGTTCTGGAGGACACAAGGGTATAATCTCCTCTCGATGCCGCTTGCCTCTGCCCTCCCTCCCCTTGCATGCTGGGTTCCGGAAATCCCAATTCATCTTGAAGGTAAACATTCAAGCAAACACAAAGCAACCAAGCAAGCAAACAAACCAGTAATTCAACCGAAAACCCTGCAAGAACGTCTAGGAAAAAAAAAAAAACTGTGCGCTGAATTTAGCTTGCTCCCCTCCCTTCCAAGTGGATGTTTGAGGAGAAGAAAGAGGAGTTTCCTGACGGACGTCTTTTGTTTTAGCTCAAGATTTTGGAAAGGTTACTCATTTATAATTTAAATCATTTTGAGGAGATCATGTATAAATGAGAATTGGTACAATAAAATAACAACGAAGCTCGAAATGAAGATTATTGGTATGCTATGAGGTTGTAGGAATTGTCCATTGGCCGTGTTCGTGAAAAGTCACAGAATGTATTTTTTTTTTTTTTAATAAGGAGGGCATTTGTCTCCTTGCCCCACTCTGGTGTCCCTGCTTGGTTTTATTTAATTGGTTCTGAACATACCTATGGATATCCTGAGAAGAACCTGGGAATGAGCTGGAGCACACATACAAAATGGAGGAGCTTTGCTCAGAGGAAGAAATCTACAGAAACTGGTAGAGGCAGGAGTCAATTCTTCCTGACTCATTTGGAAGGTCCACACCCCAACCCTCCCCCCGTTTCAGGGAAAAGCGCATCTCAGGTTTTGCTGTTCGTTTCTACCTCTGCCCCATTTACTGAAGGGAAGCAAGCGGTTTGAATTCCATTCCTTGCAAGAAACAAAATAAAACCAAATAGCAATAACAAAGCAAAACGAGTAAGAATCTACAGAAAGCTGCTGGGCATAAGGGAAGCACGGAAGGCAAAGAAGCCAGGGCGGCATGGCATCTGCGATGCCCAGTGAGCCCACACGTTCCCCAAGGCCCATGCCGCATTCCCCGCTGCCCGCTCCACCATGAAACCCGCTCTACGGACTTCTAACACGGAAGCCCAACGTGGATTTGTCCAACTGAGCCACCCGTGAGAAGGGACACTATTTCTTCCTAAAAATGTTTGTTCCTATATGATTCTCAACTATCCAGCTAAAGTGTTCTGCCAGATTGCATGACAGTTATGAGCATCCATGCCGTTTCGTCATCTTCACTGCACCCAAAGCAAGGCTGATGCTCTGCTGGGCTAGACCCTGTCGCCTTTAAGAAATGAACCCTTCCTCTATGCTGCTCCTCCCAGGGGTCTCCCTTCATCTCCCGTCCGAAACGGCGGTCAGCACTCAGGCCCCTGCCAGATCAAGACCCCGACGGGCCTCTGGCTGAGGTTTGTCTCCGCTGGGCTTGGTTATAGCAAGTGCACACATTGAGAGGAGACTACACACCTAGGTCATAACAGAAGAAACAGGTTCTCTGATTGTTCGAGGTTTCCATAGCAACTGATTTTCAAACCAAATTCCTGAACCTCATCATCAGATCCACAGTGAGGAAACTCAGGTCTTTATAAGGAATAGAAAACAATATAAGACAGAAGATCTTTTTTGGTACTAATATGGAAGGATTTAAGGAATTACTAATTTCATTTTTGAAACTGCTTCTGACGTAGTTTTTGTAAGCGAGCTATCCACAGCCTCGAGTTTCCACATGGGGTTAAATCATAACCAGCTTGTATCACAAGTGGACATGGTTCTTACTGCAAACATGGGGTCAGTCATTCACTCAGTGTATGTTCATACACTTCGTAGATGTATGGACATCTATATATGTGTATGTTGAAATATAAACATAGATGCAAATATGGGCCCCGGCACTTCATAAATGAGAATCTGCTAAAAGTCTCATGTTGGATGGTTTTGAGTATTTTAACATAAAGTAGGCGCCATAACTGTTTCCAAAATGGAATGGAATCAGTGAGTAGGAATGAATATAGTAAAGAAATTACTATTGATCTCAGCTTAGGACACACCATGGCTTGCATAGCAAATGGCTCCCATTACTTACTATCTTAGGATAAGTAATGTGCAGTCATTGCCCTTGTCTTATGTTATCAATCATTCTGTTACTGTTCAATTTCTATCAGGGATGTTTTCTGTGGGGGGGGTTTCATCGATAACTGTCGTTTGGTGATAATTTTATAAATCATGATGCCACCTACCCAATCCAATACATAAAATATGTGTTTCATCCTGATTGGCTAATTGTTATGCAAGCCCTTGCTCTTCCACACGGACTGTGGTTCGTCTGTAAGAACACAGGCTCATTCTAGTGTTTTCTATCACATGACACATTTGCGCGCTAGCCCTGTCTTTCCAAGGCAAGCGTCTCCCGCTGAGATATCATGTTCCTCATCTGCTCTGATCATAAGACATCGAGTGGCTTTGTGCCTTTCCCGGACAAATATTTTATTGGCTCTCCAGAAACACAAACTGTAATTCTGTAACCAGCTCTAAGAGATTTGCATTAGTGATATGACTTAGTGTGATGCCCACGTCATTTGTAGACTGTCATCGGCATCGTTCACCCTAGCTCCTGTCCTCATGGGGCAACTTACGTTAGGTAGAAATATTACCTTTACCATAGTATGGCTTTTTGACATGGCTGTCACTGGACTTAGGCTTCCTCTCCTCCCCGGGAAGCTGTCTTGGCGACTGCTCCTCGTACGACCGCACATTGTCCCGCCTTCCGGCCTCCATCGCCATCTTGTCCCTCATGGCCTTCGCTCTCTCTGTTTCCAGAGCAATGGCTTTCTCCAGGAGGGTCAGGTTTCCCTTGGTCATGTCAAACACCTCCTCAGACCTGTCTGAGTTCACGGAGGTGGTGTCGTCATCTCGTTCGTGATACCCGTCCTCCTTTGCGCAGCTGGAGAAAGTTCTAGACCTGGGGCTCAGCTGCTCCTCGAGCCGCATCAGGTTCATCATGTCGGAGTAGTTCCTGTCCGGCGTCCTCCCTGCGAAGTCGTCCTCTGGACGGACATGCGGACGGATGTTCATGTTCTGCGGCTGGGTCCTGTCCTGCGGGTTCGTCTCACTCAGTTTCCGGGCCAGATCGAAGCACTGATTCCTCAGGCACTCCAGGCTGCTCAGACACACCTCCTCATCGCTCTCCTCCACCATCTTGTCCATGAGCCCGTTGTTCATGGGCTTCCCCAGCATCACATAGTTCATGTTCCTGCCATCCTGCTGCGACAGAGAGTCCGCGTACGCTCTGTCATTGAGGTTCTCCGAGAGCACCACCCCGTGTCCTTGGGCCAGCAGCTTCAGGGAGTCCACCGTCTCTCTCACGACGTCGCTGTCCAGGTCCAGGCTCAGCTCGCTTTTCCGGCCCAGGGTCTCGTTCCGGTCACTGCTGTCCTCCAGGCTGGTGGAGGTGTTGCTGTTCATCTCCGACTCCGTCCTGGCCCGGTAGGCCGCATCCTCAGCGATCTTACCAAGGTTCAACAAGGACTTGGCCACCAGCTCATCGTAATTGTCATACTCCTCGTTGTTGTTGTCGTCCTTCTCCGCATCTTGCATTATTCGAGTATTGTGACAGCTCATTTGATGGTCTTCTGCAAAGAAGATAAAAAAAAAAGGGACAAAAAAGAAAAGAAAAGGAAAAAATGGCTAGAACTTGAAGTTTAGTTGCAACAGTATGGAAAGCAAGTCAATTGCACGTCAAACCCTGCTCACCGCGTACTAGAGACTTAGGTCCCGTGTGCAGATCGGCAGGCAGTGTGGCATGAAGGGGCGCAGAGGGAGCTAAAACCGGAAGGCCACAGGAAGCACTTGCTAGAAACTACTGATTTCCTTAATTATTCTTAAAACAAACCAGTATATGTGGGAAATGTAATTTTAAAATATTAATTTTTCATTCTAAATTTTACGCGTGACTTTTATTTTTTCATTGGCTTTATTGATTTGCAGCCCAAGCAGATGCGTGATAATTACACTCATCATATTACCAGGCTTTCTAAGAGTTCATGAACTTCACTCGATACCAACTCTTAAACAGATGTTCGCAGAAATTGCTTTTAAATTGTGTGTTTTCGCAGGGATGCTCAGGCACCGCAGCGGAAGGCCTCAGGCTCATATACAGCGACGCCATCACCTACCCTGGGCGTTCAGTATCAGAAGCACATGTTTGGACCGGATTAAGCTACTTTGAATGTTCTACCCTACAGACAATTTATTACGATGCACAGTGAAGCAACAGGAAAGCGTAGTAAGAGTTTAGAAACTAAAGCTAATTAACGGTGGTTCCTGCATGCATTTACAGGTTTGAGAGAGAGGGAGAGAAGACCGTGTGGTGACCCAATGCCAGTGAAGTGCAGGACTGGGGTCAGTGGTGCACCTGTGGGCCATTCGTTGCCGGGGTTAATGGGACCACGGCACGTCAGCATTCGCCCGCCTCCCAGCCTCAGGAAAATTTTGGTGAGCTGGTAGAAATACTGTATGAATGAGCATTATGTCCAATCACAAAAAAGGATTTAGGACAACTTGCTGAAACAACACCGTGTTAAAAATTACACAAAGCCCCTATGTTTGGCCTGAAATGTATTCTGTTTAATGCTCAGGAAATATGTGGGACGTGCGTCTCTCTCCGCTGTGCTGCAAGATTGCTGGTGTGGATATTGCAAATGCAGGTACTAAAGGGTGGGCTCCAAGAGGTCCCTTCCCCCCAGCCCTTAGACTGGGTTTAGTTAACCCCATGCCACTGTCACATCCACCTTTTGTTTCTGCGATTAAAAAACCGAAGAAGAATTGCTCTGGTTTATCAATGCACTGAAGAAATGAGGTGTATTGATTAGCACAAAGTACCTGTTCGCTAACAGCTGAGTCGGGGTGTCCCCGGGGCCTCCGTGATGGAGTTCACGCTGTTCCCTCAGAAGAGGCGTTGGCTGGTGAACGAGGTTTGGGCACCAACACATCAATAACAATTTTGGCTGGCCCACATAGCAAATCAACACATTTTTTAAAATCTAACACATCTTTCTAAGTATGGTCAAGTCAAACTTGCCGTATGTTAGTCACAGAGCTTCGCTAGTTGTATGAAACAAACATTGTCTCTTTTCTGGATAATTCCTATACATCCTTTTCTTTAGTATAAAGATACATGTATTCCCCAAGAGCAGTAAGAGGAAAGAAACCCAACCCAGTGAGCACCGTCAGAAACCGCGGGAAGTATGAGTGGAAGGCAGACTGTGCCCTTGGCCGAGGGGTCGAGGTTGCAAGAGTTGAAGGCAATCCTGTTCTACTGAATTCTTGAAAATATAAAAGTTATATTCTCCTCTCAGTTTACACACTTTGACTTTTATGCTCATGGGCTGTGACTAGAGGAGCAGTCCCCGGGGGGCCGGCCAGCCCCCGCTGCGCCCTGACCGGTGATTCTGAGGCCAGCACCGCTGTGCCTGCAAGGAACCAGCCACGACATGAATCGATATGTACGCTTGAAGACACGGAAGTACAAGCAACAGTTTGGGGCGTTTTCCAAGATGCGTCAAAGAAGAAACCCCAGTCAGGGGACATGTATTATTTTTATGACTTTCTCTTAACTTCCTCTTGTGAAACACGTCTTATCATCCTGGAGAACTCGGGAAGGAGGAGATGGATGGAGGAGTGAACAGGAAGCGGAACGCCCGTGTCACCTCCTGGCTCCTTCTAAAACCGTGAGAGAGGCGGAACGCGGCAGTGATCCCCCGTGTGTGAAGCTCTTCATCTCCCTACCACATGTTAGTTCTAGGTAATTTCAGTTAATTCTCCACATTCTAAATCCTAGGGTTATCTTCGGTTCATTTGTCCCAAACAGGACAGGTTTTCGCTGTATTTCTGAGCTTGTAAGAGCCCCCACGCCCTCTCCACGCCACCCAGCGAAGGAGCATGCCTTGCCTATCCGGTCACCGGGCACCTGTCCCTCTCTCACTCCATTCCTGAGCCATCCACACCCACGGAGATGAACAGCCGTGGTGCACTACCCGCAGGCTCGCTGCCATGCACAAGGAGGCAGGAAGCCGTGGGGGGACCCGGGAGAACAGCCTCCGACATGCCTCCCAGCTTTGGGCAGTGACAGCCGGCTCGGCAAGAGCAGATTTTGCTCACTGCTGTTGCAGGCACATCAGAGCGAAGATCAACGTGGAACGTAAGAACTCGAGCTGGTCCAGCTCCTCCTCTGCTGCTCACTACGTGGGTGGTGCTGCAAGCACCAGAGGCCTGGCCCCTCTTGGAGAGCATGCACAGGAATCTCTAGGATGTGCCAGGTAAAGACCCTGCATGGGAAAGCACTCTGCACGCATGCTGGCTGGGCTTCTGGTGGAGGCAGGGCCCACCGAGCTGGTGCCAGGGCACATGAGCCCGTCGGGGGACAGGCGAGGGAACCGCGTTAACATCTGGCTACGCAGCCTACTGCAAGGTGTGGCTCTCTCCAGGTCCCCGTGCTCAACGCCGCCTGTGGCCCTGTGGCTGCCCCTGGTGAAGCTGGGAATGGCGGGTAGGATGGTGCCAGTGGCCAGAACTCCTTACAGGTTAATGGAACTTCTCAAGTCACTGGCATTTAACTATTTGAAAACCTATGTGAAATAAAGTCAGCTCTTCATGTTGTGGGCTGATGGAGGGCAACCATCAGCCAACCCATCCACAAGCAGTGCCTAAACAGCCACCATGCACCAGCCTCCTCCAGGGTTCAAAATCATTTATGGTGAGCACCTAGAATTCTATCTCTGGTTGTGGGTTTTCAGGCAATTTACCCTCCTGCTTCTGTTGTGCTGAGGCTCGTAATGCAATGGGTCACATGTGGAAGTGGGCATGAAGCATGGGCCAGACTTCCCTGTGCTGGCCAGGGGCTAACACTGGGGCACCGACAGCCTACAGATGGAATATGTGAGAACTTCAGGACTCAGCTGGACCCGTTCTTCACGTGACCAATGTTCTACCGGGGAGAATGTGTATGTGATGAAAAAGCGTAGGTTCACATGCTAAGGAAAAGACTAGAAAGGGTTTGGGGAGGACACCGAAGAACCTCAGTTTTCTTTCCGCGGTTTTCTGTTGTCAGTCTGCACCCTGCAAAGCCGGGGTAACAGACACCAGATGGAGCACTGGCCGGTCGGCACCGGCCCTGGTGTCCAGCCCTGTGGGGGAGGTATGGTTTTCACTCTGGGCCCGGGCGAGGAGTCTGGGCCCAGCAGGCAGAGGCCGCTCAGCAGACCGGCCCACGTGCTCTTTTGGTGTCTCTATGAACTTTCTGAAATGTCGTGGGTGTGAATTTTACCTCCCTTGATTCAGACTGTTTTAAACAATTTATCCTCAACAGTTACCATTAGGAAACCAAAAAATATCATAAACAAAAATCATGTAGGGTTTCTTCTCCACCTTCATGACTACAATTTTTGATGTGCATAGAACTCGGGGGATTACGACGTTATAATTAGCAGCACTAGCTTTTTTAGTTGTCTCTAAAAAATACGTCTGAGACACAAGTCTGAAATCCTTCAATGTCTAGTCCTGACTGTGTTATACTGTTCTTCTAGCCTTTCAAGTAAGCCATGGGCAAGCAAATACGCAACCGATCTAAAAAAAATCAAGTGACGGCGGAGCCCAGGGAGTCCCGCCACCCCAAGCCAGGGCTGGGAGCACCTCCCGCGCCCTCCCACAGAGGCAGACAGAGCCCAGGGAGTCCCGCTGCTGCTGACGGGCGGGGCAGGGGGCTGTCCGGGATTCCGTGCAGCTCTGTGTCCACTGGGGCAGCAGCTGGGTGGTGCGGTTCTCTCGACCAGACCAGAGGCTCCTTCTAGACTCTTCCCAGCCAGACCTTTGCTCTTCGTGGCATACGGTTCCCGTCTTCATTGTTGGTTTGGGATGATCTGAGGATTTCGTTATGACACCAGCCACTGAAGCTGGTATGGATTGTCACCTTGCTGAGCCGGTCAACTCCTGGGCCTGACCAGTGGAGATTCGGTCCATTCAGATGTGCAGAGGAGCTTAGGAAATGAGGAGAGTCCTGGACTGACTTCAAGAGACCACTGGTTTCATAACGCCATGTTCCTGGAAAGCGTGAGGGAATCGAGCAGGTGGGAAGGTGGGAAGGAAGCAAACAGCCCGGGGTGAGGCTGTGCAGGGGGCTGGGGAGGACCACAGGGTGGACAGAGGCCAGCTCTCCACTCTGCCGACAGTGACCTTCTCCTTCCACGTGATCCCTGCAGCCAGCCCACTTCCTGAGCCCAGGCAGAGGATGTGAGCTCCCTCCCTTCTGCCTTCATCCCCCTCCGATACCCCAGATGTGCTCTAGGACAGATGTAGTATCTTTCCTTCTGAGGTAGAAGAGAAGGGTCCCACCTGCCCAGGTGCTGGTCAGTCCAACAGCCTCTTACCCAGAGATGAGCACCAGGGCCCCAGGACCCTCCCCGAGGTCTCCCCGCCCGTCCTGACAAAGAGGGGCTGAACCCCAGGGCCTCTCAACCACTGAAGCCCCTTGTTGAGCAGGAATGGAAGGAGAGTCGCTGATCTGAGAGGGGGAGAGCTGCCACGCACGTGAGGCCAGAAGACCCCACCTCGTCACATTCCCTAATCGGGGTCCACT